CCCGGCCTTGGCGAACCTCATCCTGTTGGAATCAGCCCATGGATCCAGCCTGGCCAGGTCCCTCTGCAGAGCCCTCCTGCTCTCCAGCAGATCCACATTCCCCCCCAGCTTGGTGTCATGTGCAGATTTGCCCATGGAACACTCGATCCCCTCACCCAGCTCATCAATAAAGAGATCAAACGGGACTGATTAAAACCAGAACTGGTTTAAAATCAGAAGGTGCCTCAGTCCCCAAATGTCCTGTAGAACATCAGGAGGTGGGGAAGGGTGCTGCATGTCCCTGCTGTCCCCTGTGCAGGTGGCCATTGCCATAGAAGAGGTCAGTCGGTGCCATCTGAGGTTCACTTTCCGTCACCGCTCATCCCAGGAATGTGAGTACCAGGAAGGGTCTGTGCTCTTCCCACCCTCGTGGGGATTTCCTGAGCATCCACCAGAAGGGTGGCTCTTTTTGCTGCTCATTCCTCATTTCTACTTAATTCCAGCGTTGTGGATTTTTTTGCAAGCCAGAAGCAAAATAACTCAGATTTTTCACCGTGCGGGTTTGGTGCTGGTGCTGTTCTAAACCTGAAATTAGAGAAGGAGCAGCATGATGGCCCCCTTAAAAGGCAGTTGTCAGTGCTCATTATTGCTCTGGCTTCTCAGTGTATGGTGTTGGTTTTAATTTATATCAAGGCCTTGACAAAATTCAGTGCAAGGCTTGGTGGGCTTCTAATGGTCTTCCTGTAGGAGGATTTCTAATTAGGTAAGTGAGAAACTAATGAGAAAGTGAGAGCCAGAAGTTTCATCAGGCAATTTCAGAGCCCTGAAACAAGATCAACAACGTGAGAATAAGCCCTTGGAAGGCTCTCCAAAAAATCCTCTGAAGGCATCTGGGAGATGCAGAGACTTCCACATCCATTCCTGACCAACAGAGGTGTAAAATCCCGACCAAAATATCTCTGCAGTTGTGTGTCATGGAATCATTGCATCATTAAGGTTGGAAAAGACCTCTAAGATGATGGAGTCCATCCATTAATGTGTCCATCCATCAGCATGATTAAGCACTAAACTGGTGTGGTGGGAGATGCTGCAAAGGGGATGTTTGTCTGTGTAGCTGCAGGTACCTGTGAAGTGCCTTGAGGTGCTAATAAATAAAAAAGCTGCTGCCTTAGATGGAGAGCTGCACTGTGGATTGTATGCCCATAACTAAGGCAGTTCCTAACAAAGATTTCTCCTGGTGTTTGCAGCCAGGGATAGGTCTGAGAGAGCTTTTGGCGTGGGCTTTGTGAAGCTGATGAACGCAGACGGGACGACGCTGCAGGATGGCAAACACAACCTGATTGTTTACAAGGTAACCTGGCCATTTGCAGCCTTGCCTTTTGTCTTGATCAAAACACTCTCTTGGCTGATTTTTCCCAGCTACAAAATGTGTGGGTGGGAGGGGAGACCCTCCTAAACTCTGTGGTTTGGAGCTCTGAAAATATCTTAGTCCTTTAGCTGCATGGGCAACTTATTCCCTGAAGTGAGAAGCCCAAACAATTCCAGAGATTAAGAAGTGTTTCAAATCCCTTGTGTCCATCACTGTGTTGAAGTTTGGCTGCAGCTGAGAAGCGCAGGAGGTCAGATGAGTGTGCTCAGTGTGAGATAACCCTTCTCTCTCAACCCACAGGGCGATAACAAGAAAATGGAAGATGCCAAAAGCTATTTGAGTCTTCCTTGCACCAAAACGGAGATGGAGGAGAGGGAGGCTCCTTCAGGGAAGAACCTGCACCACCTGGCCAACTTCACCCCCACGAAAGACAGCACAAAGGACAGCTTCCAGATTGCCACTGTGATCTGCTCCACCAAACTCACCCAGAATGGTATGTCTTGCACTGGGGGTTTGAAGTAAAAAGGGCATTTTCTTCACCCAGATGTTTCGGCAGTGCAGGATGGGTGGGCACGGTGCTTGAGCTTTAATTTTGCTGTTTGGCTCATCAGTGGCAGCCCTGTGCCAGCATTATTGGCCTCACGTTGCCAGTACAAGCTACAGAGGTGTTTGTGCAGCCACTGGCAACCACATCCCGTGAATGTTGTATCCCAACTGCCCCCGTTAAATCCTTGTGCAGAAAGGGCACCTCCCAGTGACAGTGTGTGTGTTCTCTCAGAATTGTGAATGTTTCAGGTTAATTATCTTCTCTGCTATTAAGAGAGCAGCAGTTAGAACTGAGCTCTGCAGGATGCTGTTGGACATTAACTCTGCTTTTCGTGCTGCCAGAGGGGTCAGAATGAAGGGATGTAGAGATGGGAACGAGTGCAGCGTGTGCTGGGAGATGATGGGAGACTTCCAGTAGCTCTGGAAGGCTCTTGGGCTAAGCCATGCGCTCTGATAAAATCCCTGGCTTGAGATGCCTCCTCTGAGTGAGTGAGAAACCTGCAGAATTGCCTCCAAATGCCTCGTGTTGTCAGGGCTGCACCAAAGTTTCCATTTATAGCAAAACTTCCCCTCCTCGCCAAGACAGAGGAACCACCTCCAGGTAACATTCTGTGCATCAGGGTGACTTTTCCTCGTTACACTGCTGCTAAAAATAACCTCTAGACTCGTTCTGCAGCCCTTAAGTCAGCTGGGGGGGGGGTTGGAATTGCTAATTGCTGCCGTTGTTGTGCCCTTGCCAGTTGACCTGCTGGGTTTGTTGAACTGGCGCTCCAACTCCCAGAACATCGCCCACAACCTCAGGAAGCTCATGGAGGTGGAAGGAGGGGAGATTGTGAAGGTATTCCTGGGGACTTGGGTCTCCTTTCTTGTTACCCAAGCTCAGGTGTGCGTGCCTGGGGTTGACCTTGAAGGGTTGGGGCTGTGCTGTGCCCAAAAAAGGGGCTGGGAGGGCAATTCCAGGGGAATCATGGAATGGTTTGGGTTGGAAGGGACCTTAAAATCATCTCATTCCACCCCCTGCCATGGGCAGGAACCTCTTCCACCAGACCAGGTATCTCCAGCCTGGCCTTGGACATCAGGGAGATATTGGGGACTTTATTTTCCCTGTATACTTAGGAAATATTTTTTCATTAATTTCGAAATGGTGAAAAGTTATGAAATATATTCCCCTGCACCCTTATGAAATACACATTCATGTATCCTTATGGAAGACACATTCAAAGCCTGACTTAATTTACTATTATATTTTTTTCCCCCTCTAGTTTTTGCCAGCCACCCTTTTACCATTATTTTTACTGTTTTACTACTATTCACTATTATATTTTTACTGTTATATTTTTTCCCCTCTAGATTTTGCCAGCCACCCTTTTACCATTATTTTTACTATTTTACTACTATTCACTATTATTTTTTTACTGTTATATTTTTTCCCCTCTGGATTTTGCCAGACACCCTTTTACCATTATCTTTACTATTTTACTACTATTCACTATTATTTTTTTGCTATTATATTTTTTCTTCTCTAGTTTTTGCCAGACACCCTGGATGCACTTTTCAACATCATGATGGAGATGTCAGAAAATGAAACCTATGACTTCCTTGTGTTTGATGCCCTGGTGAGTGAGTCCTTTGGGCATTTAGAGTATTTGTTTTCAGCCACATTTTCAGTCTCTTTGTGGTGATTCCTTTAGATGAGCAGCTGGTACTTTGCTCTATTAATAAATTACATTTAAACTCTTCTTAAGGCGTTTTCAGAGCTAGGACTGAAGTGCACATTCAGCTTTTTAGTAACCACAGTGAAAACAGTAATAAATAAATAAATACACCCAGTGTTTAGTGACTGTTAGAACATCAATAACACTCTCTGTGGCATTAATGCTGTTAAGAAAACAAATAAAACCTATAATCCAGCAAGAGAAATGACATGCAAGTGGAGACTGAGTTATGTTGGAGTTCCAGGCGGTGCAGCTCTGTACATGTGTTTCCTTTTGAATTTTTTTGGCAGGTATTTATTATTTCTTTGATTGGAGACATCAAATTCCAGCACTTCAACGCTGTCCTTGAGACTTACATTTACAAGCACTTCAGTGCAACCCTGGCATATGTGTGAGTATTGGTGCACCCAGGCTGAGGGCTTGTGATGGGATTACTTTTTAATTCTGGTACTGGTGGTATTTATTAGATAATTTTTGATGATGGCATCGTGATAAAAGCAGCAGAGCCCAGGGAGTCCCATCCCATTCTTCTCCACTTTCACAGGAGAGAAAGACAACCTATAATTCCTCTTTATACTCTCTAAAAATTGCTGTTGGGAGATTTTATTTTTTATTTTTCTGTCAGGGAAGGACACTCCTGTCGTGGGTCTTGACTTCCCAACTCCTTGATCCAGCACCCCTCAACCCAAAGGTCATCACCCTCATGGGAAGAGGGATCTAAAAAGTTATAACTGAGGCCAATAATCTCTTCTTTTGCTGATTTTTTTCCCTGATCCACGTGAATTCCTGGTGCTGAGTGCTCAGCATCTCTTGCTGGCTGTCACCCTAAAGATAATTCCATGAGGAAGCACAATTTGAAGTCCCCATCTCCTGGATTGCTTTCTCCTTCCCTGCCCTGCTTCCATATGATTTCCTTCCCTTCTTCCCTGTAACCTGTGGAAGAATCATCATTATTCCCCTCACAATAAACAGACTTTTTAGTCTGATTAATTGGCACACTCTGGCTTAGCTCTGTTGTTGTTCCCTTGCCTTCTTTTCCGGCTTGGCTTGACGTGACACCTGCACGATGCCAAGTGAACTGTAATATTCCAGAGCATCCTTTGTGTGTTCCACGTGCCAGAATTTGGAAAAAAGGGGGGAATTGGATGCTGGAAGGGTGGCAAATAGAGCAGCAAGAGCTTGGCTGTCGCTCTCACACTGCTTTGGGTGCTGGGAGTTGATTAATGAAGAGGATTTTGCCTGAATATTCCCAGCCCTGGCACTGGGGGAGGATCCTGATCTTCTGATGGGGCAGAGACCTGATAAAAAAATCCACATCGTGTGTTTGTGCCACTTGTCTGCAGCTCAGAACTGCTTCAGGAGAGCTTTGTGCTGCACACTCGAGACTGAGAACCCACGGAGGAGGTGGCAGTCACCTCCAGCAGGAATGGGTTTTCCAGCTCATTTTAGGGAAGAAGAAAAGCAGATCAGGAAGGTGGAATTTGCAGCCAGATTTGTAGGCTCTGTGAGAATTCATGAAGTGGTTGTGAAAACCTGGCATCCCGTGAAGCCAAAGGTTTCAGGAGGAAATGGGCTGTGAGGAGGAACCTCTGTTACTGTTTGTTGGCCTGTGGTTCCCCTCTGGAATAAGGAAGCTGGGCTTGGACAGGAGCTGAGCTGCGTCTCTATTAGTTCTCCTTTGTGCTTTCTTTCCAAAGGAAGCTCACCAAAGTGCTCAACTGTTACGTGGGGAATGCTGAGGACTCGAGCAAGACAGAGCTGCTCTTTGCTGCCCTGAAAGCCCTCAAGTACCTGTTCAGGTTCATCGTCCAGTCCCGGGTGTTGTACCTGAGGTGAGACCACGGCCACTGCCAGCCCTGGGGCTCCTCTTGGAGCTCTTCCAGTCACCCCAGATTCCTCACCATATCTCCTATCCCTTATTTGTTAAGAGGACCTTCCTGCCCTTTTCCTGGAACAAATAAATTAGGCAAAAATCGGAATAGCCCATTTGAAGAGGAGAATCCTTTTAGTCACCCCTAGCAGCATGGGAGAGCTGAAATGGAGCCCAGTATTTATTTTAAAAAGGAAAACATGGAATGACTTCCTCATTTTAAGACCCAAACACTTGTTAGGTGAGGTGAGGGTGGCACCTCCTCCAGCTGGGGGGTGGTGAATGGCAGGGGTTTTACTGGAGCCTCAAAACATCTTGTCAGAGATTTACAGTGAATCCTGTAGGGTGGAATCCTTTACCCATGTTCATTCTGGCTTTTTCTTTGTTTAATACCTTTATTTTTGGAACCCAAGAAGAATTTGCAGCTTAAAAAGTGCAGGTTTTCCCTCATAACAGATTCCAGCAGGAAATCACTGCAAAGCCCCAACACTGATGGTCCCCTCACGTACCTGTGGGAGGAGATTGCACTGAGATGTTGTTGCCCAGGATAAAATCCCGTTTCAGCTGCCCTGGCACTGTTATCCTGGGTTTCTGTGTCTGTTCTTTGCAGTGTTTATGGGAAGAGTGAAGATGGGAATGAATTCAACGATGCCATTCGCAAACTCTTCCTGTCCTTCAACATCCTCATGGACCGGCCTCTGGAGGAGGCTGTGAAGATCAAGGTGAGCAAGATTTGCAGGGAGAAGTAGGAATATCTTTTATTAGATCAGCTCATACAGCTGGGGGGGAGCTGGGCCAGGAAAAGGAAGAGGCTTTGAGGAATGTAAAACCCCTTCAAGGCGAGTCACCCCTCCCAGTGTCTGTTTTAATGAGCTGTGTGTGTGGCAGGAAAGGGATATTTAAAGCCAAAAGTTTATCAAATAAAAAGAGCAGCATCCCTTCAGCATCTCCTGAGATAAGAGCTACCACCTGCCCCAGGGGGGAAGGCACTTCAACCAAGCCTGAGGCTGATGGAGGTACAAATGTACAACTACTGCAGAAACCCCTTGAGGGTGGTGGAGGTACAAATGTACAACTACTGCAGAAATCCGTGTAATGCTGGGAATTTAAAGCAGTGAAAAAGCCCAGATGGTCTCTAAACGTGTCTTAGATCTTGTACCTGCTGGTTTTTCTGGTGTCAGCAGGATGATGAACCTCGTGCTGGTGCTCTGAGGAGGAGCAGAGCAGCGAGGCTGCTGAGTTGCTGAAGGCAGTGAGGCCTGGAGATTCCTTGCTTTGTTTCCATTCTTCCATGCCTTTTATTTGAAGGAAAGAGTGACTCTGAACTTTTAATTAGCTCTGGGGTGATTTAAAGCCTGACTGTGATTCTCAGGCAGCCAGAGTAGCTGCTGGCAGCAGCTCCAGAACATCCCAGAGACCTGGAGTCAGAGTTATCTGGATGCTACATTTATGAAAGCCTTCCTGCTGCCTGGATAACTTATTCCTGGGGATGTGGATGTGCTAAACTGTGCAGAACAGAGCCAATTTACCTGCCCAGTGCTTTTTATGTCAGGCAATAAGGTGCTTAACCCCTGGAACTGCAGGATGTCTGCAAAAAAGGAAAGAACTTGGCCGTGAATCCTTCCTCCCTCACCTTGCCAGCTCTGCACTGCACGTGTGGGGTTGTTGGAGGCTCTTTGAAAGCATAAATTTGATCTTAAGCCATTTCCCTGCAGTTGTCCCCCTATTTGCTCTTGCCAAAGACTGGATGTGCCACCTGTGTTTCATGTCCTTGGGTTTTTTCTTGCAGGGGGCAGCTCTGAAGTATTTGCCAAGCATCATAAACGATGTCAAACTGGTGTTCGACCCCGTTGAGCTCAGGTAACTGTGTTAAGTTTGTCCTCTAAACCCAACTCAGCTGGGTGGGAAGAATTTTGAACGCTTTTGCTTAAAAACAGCCACTCCAGTTCTGAGATGGTGGTGCAGATACTGGGCAGGGATTTGAGGAAGTGCTTGCAGGGTTTTAAAGGATGTGGTTAAAAGGGTTCTGTGCATCTCAGCTTCTTGTTCTGGAGGTGTCCAAGGCCAGGTTGGACGTGGTTTGGAGCAAGCTGGGCTAGTGGAAGGTGTGGGTGGCACAAGGAGAGCTTTAAGGTCCCTTCCAACCCAAAGCATCCTGGGATCCTGTGCTTCTTACAGTCACCTTGAGTTTTACTGAAAACCAACCCTGGAGGACTGTGCAGTGAGATGTTGAGATGTTGTGCAGTGAGATGTTGAAATGTTGTGCAGGTTTTCCACCAATTCTTAGTGGTTGTTCCTGAGGTGAATTGAAATCTGTGGCAAAGGCAGAGCCTTGATTAGGGAAACAAAGCTGGATTTATCCAGGGAATCCACAGCCCTGTGGATTCCTGTTCTTTGGTGTTCACAGCTTTGCCCAGAACTGCCTATCCCTTGTGTCTCCTCGTGCTGACACAAATAATTTGCTCGGAAGCAGCAGACAGACAGCAAATGTCCACGGAATTGAATTTAATGGAATCTTGGAGTGAAATGAGTCATCACTCTTGATGAAAGGGGCATCTGGAAGGATGTGCTTTTGCTGTTGCACATGGCTCAACTTTCAGCAGTGGGGCTGCCGGGTCTTTGCAAAATTCTGCTTTCGTTTTGAGTGAAAAGCAAGTGTGATTCTCTTCTGCTGGCACTGGAGGGCAGAGAGTATTGTCTGTGTGTAAATTGTTGTGATGTGTCTAGTCTGCCTTGGAATAAAAGCCTAATTTTAGGAGTTTTAAGTTTCTGAATACTGCCCAGTTTTACTTCAAGTGCTGTACTGAGTTTCTTAAAAATAAGTCAGGGCTGTGCAGTAATTTGCCTGGAGGCAACATGTCCACACTGAGACAAACCTGCTTGACTTCTTCCCTCTGAGGGGGGTGAGGCCCTGGCACAGATTGCCTGGAGAAGCTGTGGCTGCCCCTTGCTTGGTGGTGTTGTCGGCGGGGTTGTTGGAGCCTGGTGTGGTGGTGGGTGTTGTTGCTGGTGGTGGGGGGTGGTGTGGTGTGATGTTCTTTAAGGTCCCTTCCAACCCAAAGCATTCCATGATTCTGTGGCCTGCTTGAGTGCAGGATGGGATGGCATTGGGTGGAAGCTCTGACCAGCTGTTCCCTCTGTGGTTTGCACACCAGTGTCCTCTTCAGCAAGTTTATCCAGAGTATTCCTGACAACCAGCTCGTCCGCCAGAAGCTGAACTGCCTGACCAAGATCGTGGAGAGTGATCTGTTCAGACAGGCTGGTGAGTGGATTCTCCATGGGGCCACACAGCCTTAAAACCAGAAATGCCTTGCAAGGTCCCATGTCAGCCACCACTGCTAATCTACCCTTAAACCCATCTTTGGAAATATCCCTTCCCCTGGAAGAACTGAAATGGTTTTTGGCTGTTGGGTCTTTATCCAGTTCCCAGTGCTGTGGGATCCTGGTGTAGAAAGAGGCAGAAGTTGAGTTTGCTATTTGGTGCAATATATATATATATAATTTAGAAATAAGAGGACATGGTTAGATGGGATATTAGGGAGAAGTTCTTCCCTGTGAGGCCCTGGCCCAGGTTGCCCAGAGAAGCTGTGGCTGCCCCATCCCTGGAAGTGCCCAGGGCCAGGTTGGATGGGGCTTGGAGCAACCTGGGCTAGTGGAAAGTGTCCCTGCCCATGGCAGGAGGTGGAGCTGGATGATCATTAAGTCCATTCCATGACTAATTACAGGTTATTTGTGACTCTCTCATCTGTTGGTGGTAACCCAAGTGGCTTTAAGTATGTTTTGGTGTCCAAAGTGAATTTGGGAGCGGAGAACTCCTGTGTGGTGCCCGTGTACCCTGAATGCTGAGGATCCTCCTGAGGCCAACATGACATGGTGCTGTCTCTGTCTCATTTTTCAGAGTGCAGAGATGCCCTTCTGCCCCTGCTGATCGACCAGCTGAGTGGGCAGCTGGATGACAATTCCCACAAGCCTGACCACGAGGCCAGTTCCCAGCTGCTCAGCAGCGTTCTGGAAGTGCTGGACAGGAAAGACGTGGTGAGCATCAACTCCCAGGGGTGCCACTTCTTCTTTGGAGAGGTTATGGTAAAAAAAAATCGTCTCAACTTATGCTTTAAAGCATTAGGAAGTTGTGATGTGTACAGAAATCGTGTTGCACTGCTGGGGAGTTCTTTGTAGAACCGTGGGGTTTTTTTGCTGTGTCTGAAAAGGAGCCAGGAAAGGTTGAATTAGTCATTATCACACAGTACTAAAAGCCATTACTTCCCTTTCTAGGGACCAAAATGTTATCCCAGCTACTCTGGTGGCTCGTTGAATAACTTGGAGCAAGTCATGGAAGTGTTTGGTTTCTGTGAAATGGGCACACAGCTCAGTCTGGGGAACACAGTTACTGCCCACAGTGGTCCTGGACATTGATTCTGAGTTGCTGGGAAAACACTGCTTTGAACTGAAGAGCTGTTCAGGGAAAACAAAGCCCAGTCAGAGCAGCAGGATGAGCTAATGAAGCTGGGCCAGATCAATGAACTGAGCTCCCCACCAAGTGAACACCTCCAGCATTTGAATCGATCGCTGGAGTGCTTAAATCTCCTTTTTTTTGTTTCCTCTAATGGCAATTAACCACTGTCAGGGCAGTCCCCCCGCCCAGGGAGCTCTCTCTGGGGCAGTGTCCGTTAAGAGTGGTCTCTCATTTTGCTTTTTTCACCTCCCCAGGGCCCCACAGCTCTGCACATCCAGCTGATCATGGAGCGCCTGCTGAGGAGGATCAACCGCACGGTGATCGGGATGAGCCGCCAGTCCCCTCACATCGTGAGAGCCTTTCACTTCCCTCACTTTTACCACTTTTTCAGGGTGGAATTTATTCCCCTGGGAGGTTTCAGCGTGTAGCAGTGGTTTATGGAATCACCTTTCCCTTTCCTGCAGGGCTTCTGTGCCACTCACCCGTGGCTTTGGGTGGTTTGCCGAGGCCGGGGGTTGGGATCCGAGGTGTCCTGCTCCAGCTGCACCTTGAACTGATTCCCTGGGGGGTGATTTCCAGTCCCTTTGGGCCCTCGTGCACAGAGAAGTTGGTTTCAGTGCAGTTTCTACCTGCAGGCACGAGCAGTCTGCTGAAAAAATGCTCTTTTTATCACCTTGGTTAAATAGGATTAAATGCTGAGGGGTGACACATCCCTAAGGGGCATTTCTGACTGCTGGAGTACCTTACAAGGTGTAAGCACTTGGAACATTTTGATTTGCCCTGTATTTCATGCCCAGAAAGATGGCAAAACTCAAGAGCTGGGAATATGTCTTATTTTTGATAACTCTGAAGTCGTGTTAATCTGTCCCCCGTGGGACTTGCAGCTGGCCAGGCTAAACCTGAAAATCAGAGGATGGGGCTGGAAAAGACCCTGAAAATCAGAGAATCAGGTTAGAAAAGACCCTGAAGATGTAATGAAGTAGTTTGTATGTATGTGTATATATATATATATACACACATATATATATGTATATATATATACACACATATATATATATGTATATATACACACACACATATATATCTATATATTCACACATATATGTATATACACACACATATATATATATGTATATAAACACACACACACACATATATATATATTTATATATATATATATAAATGCCATGTTGGGAAGATGTGTTTCTCTTGCAAAATGTGATCCACTGAGGAGAAAGAAAGCAACACCCAGACCTCATGGTTGGGTTTTAGGAAGTCTTGGCTGGGTCAGAGGACTGAAGAGAGTCCCAGGCTGATGGCAGGGCTCAGATGATGCAGGACTGTGCTCGATGAGGTCACACTCAGGACTGACAGGACAATAACCCGGTGTTTTGGTTTTGCCATTGCAGGGGATTTTCGTGGCCTGCATGACGGCCATCCTGAGGCAGATGGATGATTTCCATTACAGCCATTACATCAAGACTTTCAAAACCAGGCAGGATATTATTGTAAGTCAGCCTGGCTGGGGAATGAGCTCAGTGCCCAGCTCTGCTTTGGGAAGGTCACTCCAGACTCCTGGGTCGGGTTTGGGCTGCTCATAAATCCACAAAGGCAGATTAAGAGCCCTGCCACGGGAAACCTGCAGGCCAGGTTAAAAACTTAATTGATAGGAGAACATTTTTATGTTTCTTTGCAAATGTTTTATTTTTCTCTTATGCAGACTTGGTGTGGCAGTTTGGGCCACACTAGAAATCCAAAATCCAATTTCCAGGCTTCCCTACCCCTTCCCACAATTTATCCCAACACCGAAGAGAGAACTTTACAAGCTGGTCTGCAGGAAAGCCTAGAGTGAAAACTATCACACTTGCCTAACCTTTCCAAGTATATTTTAAGATTGCAATAATGATATCTATTAAAAAAGCTACAAGCTCTAGTGCATCTTAATGTGTGTTAATTTTTTATGAGCTTGATAAGTATTTCAGTTAAAATGCCTGGCATTTGAAACGTAAGAGGGGATAAACACAATGTACTAAAATCCCTCTGGCACTAAAAATGTTACTATCTATGGATTTATTGAAGCTAATAGGAGTTTTGACTGAGCTACAAGTGAGTAAAGGTTGTAGTCATAACCACGGTGGGGTTGGATCAAGGGTTGGACTTGATGATCTCAGAGGTCCTTTCCAACCTGGCTGGTTTTATGATTCTGTGATTAAACCACATCCATCAGCAGGGAGTCCTGGGCTCCTGATGCCACAGCCCCTGGGCATTTATTCTGGGGTGTTGTTGACTCAGAGCAGCATTTGTGGCATTGAGTAAAAAACATGTTTAATGACTTATTTAAGTCAGGAAGCAGAAAAGGGAATGAAGAGGGAAAGGAAAAGCGTTTTCCCCTCTCTGCCTCTCACTGTCTCTCCTCGTGCTCCTTTTCTCTTTACCTAATTCTTCCCCCTCCTCTAAAGTTTAATTAAATCCTTTAATCTTGCTTTAATGGGCAGCACTGCAAATAGTTCCCCAAATGGTAACAGTTTTGTAGAATTCACATCCCCAAAGACTTTCAGTATGACATCAGGTGAAACATTAGCTTTTGCCTTTCAATATGACACCGGGTGAAACGTTAGCTTTTTATTTTTTTGAGGCCCTTAAAATGAACAGCTGTGCCCAGAGTTTTCTCCAAACTCCCCGAAATGGTCAAAACTAATATTAAAGCAAGTCCCTGGTGACAACACAGCAACTCTGTGGCTTTTTTTGCCCCCTTTATTCCTTGTTTTTGCCACGGGGAAGTGCTTGATTATTGAAATAGCAGCCTGGAGTTGTGTTCTGCCTGTGTCAAAACCCTCCAAAAAGGTTTGTAATTCGTTTTGGACGCTTTTCTCCCCGTGCAGTAGGAATTTTGCTTTCCATCTCTGGAGCAACACAGCCACCTACAGGTCACACTCCCTCCGTGTGGGCTCAGAGCTGCTTTTGCTCTCACCCAAATTATTTGTTGGGGAGGGAGAAAGAAACCAGAATCAGAAAAATGAGCAGGAATTCTGCTGCTGTCTGAGCCAGGAAATGAGGGAGGGGTCGTGTGGAAACGCTCTGCGAGGGGAGAAGGGTGTTGGGAAGGTAAATCTGAGGGAGTTCAGGGCAGAGTTGAAACAAATCTGATGTCGAGTGGCCCTCGATTCAGAATTTCTCCCTGAAAATTCGAGTTGAGGGAGGAGGAGGAGGAGGAGGAGAGCATCATAAATGAAGTTCAGGGGGAGGTTAAGCTGGTGCTCACAAAGCTCCCCTTGTGGGTTCAGTGGGTCTTGTTCTACCAGAGCTTTCTGCATCTCCTGACTCAAATAGGAGAATATTCCTTCTGTATTTCTCTGTGGCCACAGAAGGCTTCTGTATGAGGCCATATCAGGAGGGTGAATTGCTATTAATGTAATTATTAAAACTACCTGCTCATCGTTTAGAATTCCAGAATAGAATCACAGAATGGTTTGGGTTGGAAGGGACCTTAAAAATCATCTTGTTCCAACCTCCTGCCATGGGGCAGGGCTGGATTTAAACAGAAACTGATGGAAAACAACAATTTCTAATCTAATTTTTATATACATCCTTAAACCTAATGAGCAAACCCACCTTTTGTGGTAGCTGTTCATACCAACAGCACGTTTTGTTTCACTGCAGTAGTTGGCTTTATTTTTGCTGTTTGTTGTGGGGGTTTGTTGGCTCTGGTGTTTGCAGCCCTGCTTTGCATCGTGACTTGGTTGGTTTAACACCGTTAGGAGTTAATTCATCTCCTCAAGGTGCCCCTGTGTCGAGCCCAAACCTTTCCATCAAGCCCTGATTTAATAATGCCTGAAGGATTTTTCCTGAGGCAGCACCCAAAGCCCATTTCTCTCCCTCCATCACTTGCCAGTTTTTTCCAGCAAACTGTTCAGCTCCACAGAGGGTTTTTTTTTTTTTTTGCTGGGGATGATTTCAGGTGGTTTTTCCTGTGACCTTCTTTGTGTCCCTCTCATTTTTAATGCTGATGTGGTGTCGTTGTAGAGACTAAAATTGATTTCAGTGCTTTTATATCTGTAGAGACCACAATGTAGAGATCAATATTGTTGATATTCCCTTCTTTAGCTCATCTCTCTTCTTTTGCCTTTTCCTTTTTTTTCCTCATTGCACAATTCAACCTTGCCTTGCCCAAGTCTTAAGTCTTGTTTGGAGCAGTTTGGAGGACACAAAAAGTGTCTTTTGTGCAATAATGCTCTAAATTATGTGTCTGACATCATGTTCACTCCCTGGCTTTAGGTGTCCTTCTTAAACTGGACCAGAAAAGACTTAACTAATAGAATTAAATAATAAATACATTATAATTTAGGTGTAATTTAGGTCTAATTTAGCTAAAATAGAGGATCCTGCATAGAGCTGTTACACTGTCATCATTCAGGGATTTGGAAACAAGTCCCTGAATATTGGTTTTGCTTTTTAATCCAGCTTGTGCACCAGGACTCCCTCCAACACAGCTTAATTCAAACCAGTAAAGACAGATTTAATTAAACAGCTCAACATGTCCTGTGGAATTATTTCTCCTGCTGTAATTGAGTGGATGGGATGTCAGGAGTAATTTAGTTATTGGAACGTACCCACCCAATGAGAGCTCCCTCTTGGGAGCAGCAGGGTATTGATTGTTAATCAATGCAGTCGTTAATCAATGCGCTTGCAGACATTTGCACTTCCCTGGGTTTTGATGTGGAGCCCGACGGGCTCCGGGTTTTATTTTTGCCACAGGACTTCCTGATGGAAACATTCATCATGTTTAAGGACCTGATTGGAAAAAACGTGTATGCAGCTGACTGGATGGTCATGAACATGATGCAGAGCAGGTAGATATTTCTGTGTGTTTGCTGCTGTTTGAAGTCTTGCTTTGGAGCCCTCGTGGTTCTGACAGGAGGGTGACTCACACGGGCAGGTTTATTTTCTGTGACCATTTCTGGGTGGTTTAAATGAGATTTCAGTGAATTGTGTTTCCTGGGCATTTCTGTTGGTGGCACTGGGAATCTCTCTCCTGTTTGTGGCTCTCATGCCCCACAAATTGTGGGGTCTTTCATCCAGCTGGAGAGTGGCAATAAATCAGAGAAGGCTTTTTTGTTCCAGTTTGGGGGGGATCCCATGGCAAACCTAAAGCCAGAGCTGGACAATATTTAACCACTCTGTCAGTGAAAAAACTGCCCCTGATATCCAACCTGAACCTCCCCTGGTGTGACTTGAGGCCACTAAACCAAGGAATAACTTTCCCTGAACATTCCTCCACTGGGAAAGAGGTGGAAGGGATTCTAGAGGATTTCCTGCCACCTTTGGGAGCATCTGCTCCTGGACTTACACACAGGGGCCATAAACCCAGAGCTGCAATGTCATTTCTTTGATTTCCAGAGCCGCCTTTTATGGATGCTTTTATCTTTCCAGGGTTTTCCTCAGGGCAGTGAACCAGTTCACCTCTGTCCTCAACCAGGCCTTCCTGGATTCAAAAAGTTTTGAACTCCAGGTAATGATCCCCGTTGTTCCTGGATTTTCTTACGGTCCCCAGACCCGGAAGGCAGGAAGGACAAATAAATCCCACTGTGAACAGATCCACAGTGTTGATTTTCGTCCTCATCAGGGGAACCAGCAGCACTGGGGGCTGTGCAGCTCTGTCGTGCTGGTTGTTGCTTTTCCTTTGTCTTCATTTGGGATTGTTTGGTTTCATCCAGCAGCTCCCCTCCCCTCATCAGCTCAGTCACCAGGTACACGAACTTCCCGTCGTCATACACATCTTTTGGTGCTGCAGCAGGATTTCTGTTTCCTCAGAAGGGTCTGGCTTGCTCTTGCCACTCATCTTGACTGGGTGCTCCGTGTTGGTGGCTTTGTGGATGCAACATTTGCACGTGGAGTAGGAGCCGACGCCGATCCCCTCCTTCACCACCTGCCCATCGCTGAACTGGACGTTCTTCTGCTGCAGGAGCAGAAAGGAGAGATGAGCTGGGAGGGTTTGTGTGATGTGATGAGTTAACTGGCAGAGCTGGCAGACTGTCTGCTGCATCCCACAGCTTCTTCTCCTGGCTGGGAGAGGGAGGAGAAGAGAACAAGGCAGACATAGGTCAGTGGGATAATGCTGTCTGCTCTGAGCACGGTGTGTTTGGGTGGCACCTTCAACCCTCACCAGCAAAGACCCACCTGAGGAGAGGAAAAACCACAGCCCCACGTTCTCCTGCCAACCTGTGCACAGCGTGACAGACAATGGAAATGAAAGAAAAACGGGATGCAAGAGTTCCAAACAGACACCGCCTCGGGCTGCCCGTCAGAGCTGCTCTGGACGGTACAGACCTGGAGTATCCCTTTCAAACAGTTGTTCCAGTGTCTCCATTGGAGGTTGTGGAGACTGCACAACCGAATGCAGGGGTGACTGGGCAGGTTTCACCTTGTGCCATCCTCCATCAATCCGGGCAGGTTTCACTTTGCCATCCTCCATCGATCCAGGCAGGTTTCACCTTGTGCCATCCTCCATCAATCCAGGCAGGTTTCACATTGCCATCCTCCATCGATCCAGGCAGATTTCACCTTGTGCCATCCTCCATCGATCCAGGCAGGTTTCACCTTGTGCCATCCTCCATCAATCCAGGCAGGTTTCACCTTGTGCCATCCTCCATCAATCCAGGCAGGTTTCACCTTGTGCCATCCTCCATCGATCCAGGCAGGTTTCACTTTGCCATCCTCCATCGATCCAGGCAGGTTTCATTTGCCATCCTCCGTCGATCCGGTCTCCACGGAACTGAAGCCTCGGAAGAGCTGCTGGGCCCCTGCACCGGGAGGGACTCCTGGGGAATCTTCCGGCGTGCGCGACGTAAATTCCGTGTCAACATGGAAGGTGTCGTCTGGCTGGCCCACTGCAGGCCTAAAGGGGGATTGTCCTTCTAGTTACCAGTGGTGTGAAACAAGGCTGTGTTCTTGCACCAATTCTATTTACAGTCTTTTTCAGCGGGATGCCCCAAAGGGCCACGGCAGACCTCGAGGATCAGGACGGGATCTACATTCGATACCGTACTGATGGAAGCCTTTTCAGCCTAAGGCGACTGAAGGCCCACACCAAGACCTTAAACCATCTTGTCCAGGAGCTGCTTTATGCTGATGACGCCGCCCTTGTTGCCCACACAGAAGCAGCTCTGCAGTGTTTAACATCCTGCTGTGCTGAGGCTGCTGAGCTCTTTGGGCTGGAAGTCAGCTTAGAGAAGACAGAAGTTCTCTATCAACCTGCACCTCAGGAAATCTTCCATCATCCCCACATCACCATTGGCCAATCAGAGCTCAAATCAGCCCAGCAGTTTAATTACCCAGGCAGCTTCATCTCCTCGGATGGTGAGATTGAGGGGGAGATGGACAACAGGTTAGCAAAGGCATAGAGAGCTTTGGGAAAACTCCATAAAAGAGTTTGGCGAAATAAACACCTGAAGAGAAGTACCAAGATCAGTGTTCACAGAGCCACAGTCCTGTCTACTCTCTTATAGGGATCCGAATCCTGGGTCATCTACAGCCACCACCTGCGACTCCTGGAACGCTTCCATCAACGCTGCCTCCGAACAATCCTAAACATCCACTGGTCAGATGATGTGACCAATCCATCTGTTCTAGAACAGGCAGCAGTCACAAGCATTGAGGCCATGTTGCTGAGAACACAGCTGTGCTGGGCAGGGCACGTCTCCAGGATGAAGGACCAACCACCCCCTCCCTAAGATCTTGCTTTATGGGGAACTTGCCACCGGCTGCTGCAAGAGAGGAGCCCCAAAGAGGAGATACAAGGACTGCCTGAAACAACATCTCAGCCTTGGCCACATTGATCATCAGAACTGGTCTGCTCTGGCCTCCAGTCGGGAGGTCTGGAGACACCCCATCTCTAACGCTGCTGATGCCTTTGAGAACGCAGCAGGGTCACCCTTGAGGAGAAAAGACAACGCAGAAAGAATCGTGTCTTGCAGAATATTCCACCTAAGGAGTCTTTCTGCTCTGCCTTTTGCTATTGGACATGTCTATCTCATACTGGCCTCATTAACCACCAGCGTGCTTGTAACAAACGTGGGTAGAGCCCTCCCCAAATCTTTGTTCACAAAGCCCAGCCATGATGATGATGATGATTTGGGGTTGTGCAGCTCTGTTGTGCTGCTTGTTGCTTTTCCTTTGTCTCCTCGTGTTTTATTTGAGCCCTGTTTCTCTTCCCCAGCTCTGGAATAACTATTTCCACTTGGCAGTGGCCTTCCTGACTCACGAGTCCCTCCAGCTGGAGACCTTCTCCCAGGCCAAACGCAGCAAAATCATCAAGAAGTGAGTTTGCATTTCAAACCTGCCCGAGCTTTTTGCTTCATTTGTGCTGCTCCAGACATGCCCCTGAACCCTCAGGAGGAGAGGAGGTGCCAGGGAAGTGTTTAATTAATGAGGGATGATAAAGGGGTGACCAGGAGGGGTGATTGGGGGTGTCTGAGTCGGGGCAGGCAGATCCTGAGCTGTTGGAGTTGAACTCTTTGCAGTGTAAGGTCTGTGACAGGGGCTTGTCACAGCTCCCAAAATTCCCTCATGCAATTCCTCAGCCTCTGTGGAAGGCAGGGGAGAGGAATCCTAAAACCCCTCCAGCTTTTCAGTCCCCTAGCTTTGGTTTTTTTCACTTCAGAGCCGCTCATCCCCCAAAAGTAGGAATAAATACCCCAATTTCTACTGACTGAGCAGCTTTCACTTCTTCATTTAGTTGGAATCAAGTCCCTAAATACCTCTTGAGGTTCTTGACACAGACTTTTATGAAAGCATCCGTAGTTTGCCACCTTTTTCCTGCTTTAAGAAGCCTGAGCATTAAATCTTGATGCATTCTCTCCATGTCAGCAGTGAGAGCTTTGGGGAAAAACACCAAACCCCCCAAAATTCGGGGTGGAATTAATTGCATGAAGCAGCAAAGCTGCAGCTTTGTTGTGCCCTCAGAACTCTGCAGTCTCCTGTCACAGTGACAGGAGTTTGTGGGTTTGCCATGGAATTCTTCAGGTAATTCCAATTCTCAGGCCTTTGTCACCTTTGCCTTTTAATCCTTTTTCCAGGTACGGGGACATGAGGAAAGAAATTGGCTTCAAAATCAGGGATATGTGGTACAACCTGGGTGAGTTCCAGCCAAGGAATGATCTTTATTTGAGCTCTCAAGCTGGGCCTCAGATCCTTTATTTCTTTAGAGAAGCTGCACGTGTTTAATGTGGGGAAATGCACACAAAAATCCCTTTTCCTTTTGCTGGGAAGAACTTGCAAAAACTGATTTAATTTTCTCACATCAGCTGCTGGGATGATGTCTTAGATTCCCTATCAAATGTTCTGCCATATAAAGGAAAAGTTGAATTTTTCAGACCCTTTGTGATTTGCAGTTCAGCTCAGTTATTTTCTGTACCCTCGCTGAATTGTGGAGCTGGGGGGGTGTTAATTCTGCTTTAAGTAGCCATTAACCACATAAAATACACATTCTGAGCACAATATTTGTGCTTCATGGTCTTTATAATGTGCTTAAACATTCAGATATCCAAATCCTGCCCTTGGATATTCAAATCCTGCCCTTGGATATCCAGATCCTGCCCTTGGACGTCCAAATCCTGCCCTTGGACGTCCAAATCCTGCCCTTGGACGTCCAAATCCTGCCCTTGGACGTCCAAATCCTGCCCTTGGACGTC